TTATGATTACGCTTGGGATTAGCAAGCGTTATCAAATAAAAATAGACTTTATGCGGGTTAAAACCCAGTTTGATAAAATCACTCAATCCTTTCTTCAGTTATCAAATGTGTTGCTTTGAATTTGGCAAAATTATCTAACCCTTACAAAATTTATCAGACGGTAATGGCCCTAGCTAGAAACGGTCAGCACCTGTCTTTTTTTTTTTTAAAAAAAACATGTTTTTCAGTATTAAAGAATGATCGTCCTATCGTTTGTCTGGTTATGAATTGTCAGCTTACTTTCCATATATCCAACCTTTTTTGTATTGCAAGTTTTTTGTATAATCGATTTCTTTCATGTTGCTTAAATCAAAAACTGACTTTATCTAACTTTTTTCCGCTAAAGCACATTGTTCTGACCAAATTAATTTGGTTTGTTTGTACAAAATGCTAAAAACCCTCGAAGAAATTATAGTTTATCATAACTTTTCTGTTCTTTTATAGCTTGATAAATGTTGCCCTACATTAAATCGGCTTATTGGCATCATTTTTGGTCTTTCGACATTGGAAACAATTTGTATTGGCTTGTGTGTTTTGAGGGTGAGAGGGACTTAATAATTCTTTATTTTTTCTAGTCTTAAATTTTTTTGATTTTCTTTCATATTTTTTCCTGCTTTTCAGCTTAATCGGTTTCAGCTTCGGTGGCCTCTGATTGTTTCATTTGACGCTCAATTAAAGTTTTGAGCGTAAGTGTGTGTTGAAGTTAAGAGGGAATTAATGATTTTTAGAAAGACTTAGGTATTGTACTTTTTTGGCTTAAAGCGTTCCAATGTTGTGACTTATCCAATTAATTCAAGTATTTCCTAATCTCTACAATTTTGATGTTCAATAATCAAGTTATTCTTCTTTGGAAAAAATAGTTCACTAAAATTAAAACAGTTATCACAAATTAAACGGAAAAAAATCGTAATTGGTCGTGGACACTTTCCTGAGAAAAACCAAAACTCATCTTGAAATTAATTTGAACGAATTTTTGGTTGCAGTCTTTTTCAAAAACTATTTTTCCACTGTGTGGGAAAAACTACGGAAAACTGTATATCAAGACTTTTTTATACAAAAGTTCAAAACTGAGAAAAATTTTATGTTTATATTTTTGTTGCTAATATTTGCATGTAAAAAGTTCAATTTCACCCTTGACGCAGATCAGATGCTGTTTTTTACACAAGAATCAAAATTTCTAAAGAAGGTAAAGTCATTTTTGTGAAGTCATTATTGTAGATCAGGAGATACACCTCATCTGCTCAAAAAACTGTGCACTATTTTAAATCTCAAAATGTTTCAAAGTTGAGGCTTCAAAGAAGCTATCAAAAAACTTCAATCATAATTTAAACCCGAATCTGTCCAAAAAAGACACCACTATTTCCAACAAATCAGTTTTTCAAAAGAGGCTTCATAGCCATACAAAAATACAAAAAGTTTCAATTTTAAGTAAATTATTCAACTTTTTGTTTTTTTTTGTTTCAGCTTATTTTTGTAAAAAACACCAACTTCTGTCTTTTTTTCACTATCCTTTAATGCAACGCTGAAAAGTTTCGCAAATGTCGCGAAGCTAGTTTCGCCTGCATGTATGAAAAAATCTTAATATTAGCTAGTTTTTAGCGTCCGGCATGATCTCGCCAAGTCGAAGAAATGTTGCGACCTCCGTAGGCCGAAACAACAAGTCAATTCGAGTCAGGTTGGTCTTACTTTGGGGGATGTTAAATAAGTGTAAAACTATACGGGGAGCAGGGCCGTAGGGACAGTTTGGGGGAAATTTGAATCTGTCCTATTCAAATAAGTCTTTAGGTAGGGGCTGTATCCTGATCTTGTTTTGGCGATGTATGTTTAGTCGAGCGAAGGAGGGTCTGTTCTGTTTTGAAAAATCTGGGGCCTTTCGAAGATACTTTGCGCGGTGGGGTTCTTCATCTATGGCTTCCTATACTCTGTTGGTGAGACGATTCTTCAAAAAATAGTTTTGAAATTGTTGTTTGTGAACCCTATCAGGTGATTCAAATCGTCAGACTCGTTTGCTTCTAATGAATTATGTTCAGCTTGTTCTTTTTTTTAAAAAAAATATGACGTGAAAGCAGAGCTGACGGGGCGGTTGAATATGGGCACGCTAAAAACGGAGGTTTTCATTATCAAGCAACTCTTTGCGGCGAACTAAGTAGCAAATAGCTTGTGATGACTTTCCAAAATAAGTAAATTGCAGTTTGAAAGTAGGTGGCCACTGTGACCAATCTTAATACACCCTGTCACTATCCGTAAAGCTGCACTTCGCATTAATTGCAATTTACGTAAGGAGGTATCATTGAGACCAAGCTGGGCTACGCGGCGTAAGAACAAGCTGGATAGGCGTAGTCCAGGATGGCCTGATTAATGTTTTACAATTAAAGTGTCTTCCGATTGACTTCAGTTTGAACAGAACCCCGCGTTCAGGAACAAGATTTTGCGCATGGCTTTGCTCGCTTTGTTCGGGAAAAACGAGCAAAAAGTCGAAAAGACATCGAAAACTTTGGAATGAATTTGGACTGTCAGTAGTGTTTGACATATTTTAACTTTAGGGTCATAGTTGAACTCTGTTATGCGACGTGAATGGACTTACAGATCCCCTAGTAGCAAAAAAACTCGAGCGAGCCGTAAGCAACAAAGAGGCATGTAATTTGCTATGAAACAGGGGCATGTTTCATATCGCTCGATTGAACCAAAAGGTGAAATTTATCAGAAGACTGTAGTTTGACTTCAGCAGGAGGTTTGAGTGCACCGTGCACGTAAAAATCAAAAGCGGCCCAGTGGACAAAACCTTGGGGAGTAGCCTGAAGATACACTCTTGGACGAAGACAAGGCGCCCCTTTTCGGCTTGACTACAACTCAGATAACTTGCAAACCATTCAATTTAACTGTCAGGTACAACAGTGCCGAATAAGATCCAGTTATTTACAATGACAGACAATTTCAAAGGCTTTAGACAAATCTAACTTTAAAAAAAATTTAGTTTCTGTTTGTTGAATTTATGGATTCTCAGATTCGTGTATTGAGCGTTAACAGCGTTTGCTAATTGTTTAGCCTCTGATAATTTTTTGCCAGTTTAAGATATTGGATGAGATCCTGCAACGGAATTAGTTTCATTCAAGAAACAAGCACAAGCCATTTTTCACAACTGTGTTCAGGACGTGCGGCGATTCAAAAGACTGAAAACCCCGAAGAACTCCTGCCATTTTTTTCTATTTTTCTTTCGCTTTTTTTCCATTTAAACATGATCCAGGTTTTTTAAATGGACCAAACTCTTTAGTGCTCTTATGCTAATTTGTTTTTGCATTTTTAATTTCACGAAGGAGTAAAAAACCGACGTCCTTCATAAAAACAGTTTTAGAACGTCACTTCTCCTTTTTCTGTGAACTCATCCCAGTTGGCTGTTTTGAAAACTGAAAAGGTTTTTTCGCACTTAAAAGAACATCCTCTGATAGAGAAAGACTCATTCAAATTGGCAAATGCATTGACCCTTAAGGTAAAAGCTGTTTGCAGTTTGAAGATAATAAAAACGACGATAAGGCAAGATATAAGTCTGGGAACCAAGGAGATGATTCGCCGAGTGGTAAATGAGTTTGGTCGAGGTCGTCTCAAGGGATGAAGTCAGAGTCAGTAATTTCTCGAGTCGGTGGATGTTAGAATTTGTGAAGCAGAGATTTTGTTTGTTGCCAATTATTCTTAAACTTTGCGCCTTCATTGACTAGTCTTCCACTGTTTCTATATCTTCTTTGAGGAGCGAGTTCTGAAAGGAATTAAGAAATGCATCTCCCTCTCGTGGGCGGTCGTTTCTCAAGGAAGTATAAATTGGGTCTAGCGAGGAGTGCCGTTTTTCCGTATTGTGTATTTGGTATTTGCACATAAATGCTGCAATTTCTGTGTGCTTTAACTGAGATCCCGTTGTAGTTTGAATGGAGAAAAATTAGATGCTTTGTTTGTGATTGGTTGCCGGGACAATTTGATAAAAGCGAGAGAATAGTACTGGTTGATCAATGGTTTTTGAGAGTTGGTGTTAGTATCTTTCTGGGGGAGTTGCCACAAGGGCGGCAAGGTTAATGGTCTTAGGCTTGGTTGGCCTTTCACGCATATCTTTTACTGGCAGAGGAAGGATATGGTTATTTGCACAGCTAGGGCAGTATAAATTTCTATGGTATTGAGTGAGGTTTGCAAATCGACTGCATTTTAGGTGGCTCCATCCGTGATACCAAACACTAGCTTGAGTACGTCTGACTTTTGTATTAGAAATAGGGCGGATAAATTGCCAGGTTTTGGGCTTTGCCTTCCCGAGGTGGACCCGACACGCGACTGCAGTAGCCGCAAATGGCATCGAAACTCCCTCCCGTTTTTGTGAGCGCAGAAAGAAAACATATTATTCACACGATTCCATTAAAGGAAAAAATGTTCGTCATACCATTTTCATAAATTTTCTTCTTTTACGGAATGGTATGGAATTGCATGATAATATTTTTTTGTGGATGAAAATCAATTGACTAGTCTTTTTTGTTAAGCCGGGAATCAGAAATCAATTGTATATAATTTTACCTTTAGAGTAATTTGTACGATACTGTTTTGCCCGATTCGTTTTGCTTCCAAAGTTTGAAGCACTCACTTAGTTTCAATTAATAACTAATACTTAAACTGAAATTTAATCTGTTTGGCTAAAAATGCTGCTTTTCCGCGCAGTTTGAACGTTACCTTTTATATCCCATATGGCTTCAGAAAAAAAATGATTTCGACAACGCCAAAACAATATTTGTTTATCCAACTTCAGATATTATATTAACTTTATTTCTCTGAGATTTTTGTCATAAAAATATGGAAGAGGAACTAGCTATCAATATTGTTCGAAGTATTTATTTATTTTTAGTGCCGCACTTACTGCGAGAAGTGCAACTTCTTAAGAAACAAATTCCAATATTTACTCAGTCAGTTCACTGATGCTGTGAAAAAGCTGCTTTCTGTCGAAACTAAATTCGAATTGCTGATATTCGTTAGTAAAAATAAGCAAAAAGATGTATTGGTATAAAAATAAGACGCGCTTTCAAAGCTAACTAGTTCTTGACTTGGTCTGGGTCTTTGCCACCGGTGGTTTGGCTTCATCAGTCCGTTCATCTGAAAATTCAGCTTCAGTTTCCCCAGCCAGCATTTGGTCGAACCACTTGAACACACTCTCTTTGGCACAGTGTGACGTCATATCGTGTTCCATAACCCCTGCTGACCTCAACTCACAATCTCTGCCTTTCAATTTCTGCCTTATTTTCACTGGTGTATTCACGGACGCTGGAGACTGGATCCAATTTACAACGCTTCGCTCAAAGAAATCTTCTACCTGAACAGAAACAAAACTGCAATGATTCAATCTAATGTTGCATTCAACTAAATGAAAGCCAAACAGATTTCATCACTGCATGTTTTATGCTATGAAAAAACTGAAATGATTGATCCTACTTTTATTCTACCAGCAGATATCATCGTATTTATTAAATTAATTGCCAAAAATTTTACCCGATTGATTCAGGTTTGATGCAAACTATGGGTTTGAAACATGTTGCCTGCTTGTCCATCCTGAGAAATGCACTTGCTGAATAAAAACTCAACAAATAACCCACAGAAGACCCGCATGTAGACCCTACTTTGAATTACCCACAAAACTTTTCTTTTATTAGGTGCCCAATATCGATTTTTACAATAAAATACTTTCCATCACATCCAATATTTTTATGCACATGGACCAATTGCCTCATTCAAGAAAAATTCAGTTTAACAAATAAGCTTCCCAAAACACTCTACATACAGTGAGAACTATGCGGGGCGAGGAGATGAGGGTGAGCCACTAAACAGCTTCAGCTGCGAAAAAAGTGACCACTTTCTTGAGTAGATCGTCAGAAAAAATGATATCAGCCATCTCCAACTTTCACTCTACATAATTTCAAGTCCTGTATAAGTTCACTCCGTTTAGTATCCCTTAAAAAGAACACACTAACAGACAAGAAAAAAGAAGATATTTTGCGACCTTTGGGGATTCATGATTTCCTTCATGATATTCACAAAAAGGATTTGAATTGTTAATGAAATAACAGTTGATCTACAATATAGATAAGTCCGGTTTTTTCTCACATCTTTAGATGCGTCCATATGTCTCAGAGCGTGGACCGAGTCCGTTAAGGCAACTGCTTTCACTCGATCAGTGAAGTCGTCAGTCTTCTCGGCTAGATGGGCAGTGACTACTCCTCCCCAACTGTGAGCCACAACTAACACCGTGGCTACTTTCGATTTCTTAATCAACTTGTTCCATACGTACAGACCGTGTTCTTCTGATGTACCCGAATCTAAACATAGCCAACAGACAGTTGGAAAAAAAAGTCAATGAACGCAATTGAACAAAAAGAAAATATTGACTTGTTTTTGAAAACATCTAAACTTCCGAACTTCCCAGAAAAAAATAGATGGCATCTAAATCTTTTGAATTTCTAGAACAACGTATGATTGACTCTTCTTTGATTAATTTAACCAAATTTGAAAAAAAAACTGGATGATTAGGTAAATTTTTTGTTTTGCTGAGAAATCTGATAATTAAATTCCACTTTCGACACGAAGTCGATCACGTTTTTGGTGATCTTTACACTTTTGCTGTTCAATAGTGGAGTTTGTCTTTCTTTCAACTAATGAAATGAACTGTACTTAAGAAATCAAACGTCGGCTCTTTTCCAATTTCCCCACCCCCTCGTAAAATTACAAAATAAAGCTGTTCAAAAAATGTTCACACGACATTTTGCATGTAAGGATTAACACAAAAATTTGTTCACCTGTTCACGCTGACACATTTTAATTCTGTTTATAACATGAAAAGTCATTTCAAATAGATTTCATATATTGAAATGCAGAAAAAATCAAAAAGAGGAATTGGAAAAGGGCCCAAAAGCCAAACCGCGAAAAAGTTAATTAGGCTCTTTTCCAGTCCCCCTTTTGTTTTTTTCTCAAATTCAAGGTCTGAAGGGTTATTCTAAATGACTTTTCATGTTAAAAACTGCATTGAAATGTGTCATCGTGAACAGTTGAACAAACTTTACAACATTTCTTACATGCAAAAAGCCGTGAACAATTTTTGAACAGCTTGAACTTGTAATTTAACGAGGGGTCTGGGGAAACTGATACAGCCGTAAATTTCAGCTTGAACAAATTTCTGAAAAAAAACCGAAAAAAATTGATCGCAGTAACATCTAATTCGAATTGCATGTCAAAACATGTGCGTGCTGGAGCAGTACATTTTAAGACAACCACTTCTTCATGGTTTTTTGCGTCGAAGTTTGCATGTCAGTTGAGTGAGATTTAGAGAGTTCTCATTGAACTTTCCAAATAGAAACCAAACTTCATTTCACTTGCAAAAGCAAGTGACTTGCAATCTGGTACTAGACTTTATTCAGGAAACCATATTACAAATCTGTTAGAAATTGAACTTGCTTCATTGTAGAGCCCAACTATCAGGAACATTTGCTTTTGGATCCTAAGGTCTCGAGTTCGAATCCAAGTCCTACCTTTTTTTTCCAATATGCGACCCTGAAAATGTTTTAAGCTTACCACCTCTAACTTTGAATGGTTTCGGCTTAGTTTATCGTTTCAGGAGGGGTAGGGTGTAAAAAACTTTTAAAGCTCAACAGTTCAAAAAATATTTATGTCGATTTTGTTTTCGACTCAACGGACGTCAACCCAAGTATTTGCAATTTAGTGCCCGCTTGAATAATGATACTAACTGCTTACTTAACGCTGGTAAAAACGTTTTTCGACTGTCTATTCCTGGAAGAAAACATCACTCGAGACCGACGTAAGATTTTTTGTAGATGTAGTTTTTTTTTAATTACAACTTTCACTTTTCAGTCTCATTTTCTTTTCGCTAGCTGGCAATGCATTTGTAGCGTCTGTTTATAATTGTTTAGTTATAAAATGCTTAAAATCCACATCCTACTCGACTCTAAGTTTGTTCATGACGCTACGTTTCTACACGTACAGACCAGATCATGTTGCATAGACATCAATTGCTGGATGATGATCAATTTTAATTGACATAGACTGGAAGAATTGGTTACTAACGTTTGACTTCGCCATATGACCCTTTTCCATCCTGTGACATAGTTGGAGCCATATTCAAGTTAGTGTTCAGCACTATAACTGCCCATCCTCTCTCTTTCGCAGCTTCGATGTATGGAATTTGACTTCCCTCTTTGAGGCCTTTGTTGATGATGACCTTACGGGACCATTGACCAGCTCGGACAAATCCGGATCCGTGGATTAGCACCAAAAGGGTAGCTTCGTTAGTGTAGAAGTCGGGAGTGACAAATACGAAACTTCTTGCATCTGTTTGTGCAGCATCTAAGCAACGCAACCGAGCAAATTAAAACATCCCTCTTTTAACGATTTTTTGGTAAAGTCCTCACTGACATCACTACCGAAGTCCGAGGAAAATTTCTTGCAATACTAGTTTGGAGCGAATTTATTCCGAAATTACCAAGTTCTTAAGTCTATTGTACGTAACTTCACATTCGCAGCCCCCTCTGCCTCGCGATACAAATCCACTGCTTCATAGACCACGCCCTATATCGACTCTTCCAAATCTAGAGAGTTTAGACAAAAGATAAATCTTTTAAAATTGAAAAAAGAACTTATTGAAAAAAGAATTTAAATCCGAACTATTCGAAAAAAACAGCGTTTTCGAGAGCTCTCAATAAGAAAACTCCATGCAAAAAATTACCATAACTTAACACCAATTAAAATCTCCAAGATAACTTCAAGCTCGATTTTGACAGGATATCGATATTGATTACCTAATAATTGTGACACTTAAGATTCTTGGGACGATGACAATGACACTTGAATCTACCACAATCAGTTGTCCCACCACCTTTTAAAATGCCAACTAAAAGTGTTCTGTCAAAATGAGGATGGCTCTCGAACTGCGATTCCCTTGCGAAATAAAAGAGCTCTCGATGATCTACAATCCAGAGCGATCACGAGAAAGAAAAAGCCAGTGTCCTTATTCAAAGTTGGTAACAATGTACGACAAGCATTGAAAGATGGCAACAGAGGTTTTGTCAAACGTCTGCGGGAAGCAAATGATGAAGAAAGAGCACAGCTGCTATTAACGGAGTTATCTAGAACTCAAGAAGTCAAACATAAGAAACAAAATCTCAATTCTACTCCAAAAAGTGCTCTTAATGAGTGAAACAGTAAAATCAATGACTGAAAGAGACCCATGCAAGCTATTATACTCAAAAATACGATCTTTACGGTGCGACTACTAAGAACTGCAGGCTTATATAAGTATTTTGAAGGTTTTACTGTCCCTAATTGCATTAAGTGAGACTTGGCTTTGCAAAAGTGACAATATATATAGTGTTTGTCTTGATAACTACTGGCCTCCTGTTGTTAAAAACAGAGAGTCTAGAGGCGGCGGAGTTGCGATATATGTTCGCAATACATTGAGTTCCTGTAATTTTCGATGTAATACTGCCCTGGAGGCTGTAGGCATCAAATTAAGACTAAAAAAGTTGAAATCAAAAATCTAAATTGTTTCTACAGCGAGCCAAATAAAAATCAGGAAACTTTAATGCCAAGTAGTCGAACCGTTTTAGTTGGTGATTTAAAACTAAACATAAGCAACGACAACCAGTTCTCACTGACATCACTACCGAAGTCCGAGGAAAATTTCTTGCAATACTAGTTTGGAGCGAATTTATTCCGAAATTACCAAGTTCTTAAGTCTATTGTACGTAACTTCACATTCGCAGCCCCCTCTGCCTCGCGATACAAATCCACTGCTTCATAGACCACGCCCTATATCGACTCTTCCAAATCTAGAGAGTTTAGACAAAAGATAAATCTTTTAAAATTGAAAAAAGAACTTATTGAAAAAAGAATTTAAATCCGAACTATTCGAAAAAAACAGCGTTTTCGAGAGCTCTCAATAAGAAAACTCCATGCAAAAAATTACCATAACTTAACACCAATTAAAATCTCCAAGATAACTTCAAGCTCGATTTTGACAGGATATCGATATTGATTACCTAATAATTGTGACACTTAAGATTCTTGGGACGATGACAATGACACTTGAATCTACCACAATCAGTTGTCCCACCACCTTTTAAAATGCCAACTAAAAGTGTTCTGTCAAAATGAGGATGGCTCTCGAACTGCGATTCCCTTGCGAAATAAAAGAGCTCTCGATGATCTACAATCCAGAGCGATCACGAGAAAGAAAAAGCCAGTGTCCTTATTCAAAGTTGGTAACAATGTACGACAAGCATTGAAAGATGGCAACAGAGGTTTTGTCAAACGTCTGCGGGAAGCAAATGATGAAGAAAGAGCACAGCTGCTATTAACGGAGTTATCTAGAACTCAAGAAGTCAAACATAAGAAACAAAATCTCAATTCTACTCCAAAAAGTGCTCTTAATGAGTGAAACAGTAAAATCAATGACTGAAAGAGACCCATGCAAGCTATTATACTCAAAAATACGATCTTTACGGTGCGACTACTAAGAACTGCAGGCTTATATAAGTATTTTGAAGGTTTTACTGTCCCTAATTGCATTAAGTGAGACTTGGCTTTGCAAAAGTGACAATATATATAGTGTTTGTCTTGATAACTACTGGCCTCCTGTTGTTAAAAACAGAGAGTCTAGAGGCGGCGGAGTTGCGATATATGTTCGCAATACATTGAGTTCCTGTAATTTTCGATGTAATACTGCCCTGGAGGCTGTAGGCATCAAATTAAGACTAAAAAAGTTGAAATCAAAAATCTAAATTGTTTCTACAGCGAGCCAAATAAAAATCAGGAAACTTTAATGCCAAATAGTCGAACCGTTTTAGTTGGTGATTTAAAACTAAACATAAGCAACGACAACCAATATAGTTTAAATTGTAAGAGTAACAGTTTGAAAGGCTTTAAGGAAATTGGGAGTGTTGACAAGTACTTCGAAAAACTCATCAAGGAAATTTGTAAAAATCTGGATAAGAATGCACCAGAAAAGTATGTTTTAGATTCACCAAAGCAGAAAAACTCATGGATCACCAACAGCATTAAAAACAAAAATACAAAGCGTATAACTATTCATCACCAGCTAAAAAAAACCCATCAAGTCAATTTTTGATGGACAAATACCTTACCAAAAGAAAAAAGTGAAATCATTTATTCGAAAAGCCAAACAAAGTTTTGATGTTAACAAGTTAAAGAGCAAAAGTGCTACGGCATCAGTTTTGAAATAACTCTTACGAAAGGCAAACTGAAACTCAGTGAAGAGACAACACTCTTCAAAAAACAGAAAGACCTATTATATAACAGCCTCTCTAAAACTGGGCCTATAATTATTACTTGTTGAACTCGTCATCTTTATCAAATGTCACTACCTTCGCAATTTTGAACAAGCAGGGGTATTGACCCAATTCGATGCGTTTATTGAAAAGGCGAATGAAAGACGTCAAAATTGCAGGTTCATTAATTTTAATAAGTACATTTGATATACCATCAGGACCTGCTGAAGATTTATTACTTAGTTTTGAGATTGCTTCAAACACTTCAGAATGTTTAATGGGTTTCAACCATAAAGATTTTTTATTATCAAAATGTGCTGCTAGGTTTTGACCAACTGTAGCACAACTTCATTCAATTTATTAGCATTCAAAATAGATGTTTACGTTTCTGGCCTATCAGCATTACTATCGAACAAAGTTTTTTAAGAGATTGAACTACTCTTTACCATTTTTGACGCGTGCTAACTTGTTAACATCAAAACTGTGTTTGGCTTTGCGAATAAATGATTTTACTTTTTTCTTTTGCTAGGTATTTTTCCATCAAACATCGACTTGATGGGTTTTTTCTTAGCTGCTGATGAATAGTTATACGCTTTGTATTTTATTTATGACTTTTTCGAAGTACTTGTCAACACTCCCAATTTCATTTAAGCCTATGAAACTCTTTCGCAGATTGAGAAGGAAACTATATAAGTTAATTGGATCACTCAAATTATTCAATGGTCGAATTTTTAAATAATTGTTTTTTTAGCAGGCGTAGAATTAACATCAACTGTTGTTGGAAATAGATCTGAGATATCCTAATCTTCATTTGAAACAGAATTGCTCAATAGATCAACTTATAAGCAATTTTTCTGTTTCTGTTTCAAATGAAGATTAGGACATCTCAGATCACTTTCCAATAACAGTTGATATTAATTCTACGCCTGCTAATAAAAACGATTATTCAAAAATTCGACCATTGAATAACTCGAGTGATCCAATTAACTTATATAGTTTCCTTCTCAATCAATGAAACAGTTTGAAAGGCTTACAGGAAATTGGGAGTGTTGACAAGAAAAACTCATCAAGGAAATTTGTAAAAATCTGGATAAGAATGCACCAGAAAAGTATGTTTTAGATTCACCAAAGCAGAAAAACCCATGGATCAGCAGCAGCATTAAAAACAAAAATACAATGCGTATAACTATTCATCAGCAGCTAACAAAAAACCCATCAAGTCAATGTCTGATGGACAAATACCTAGCAAAAGAAAAAAGTAAAATCATTTATTCGCAAAGCCAAACACAGTTTTGATGCTAACAAGTTAGCACGCGTCAAAAATTGTAAATAGTTGTTCAATCTCTTAAAAACTCTTTGTTCAATAGTAATGCTGATAGGCCAGAAATGTAAAAATCTATTTTGAATGCAAAGAAATTGAATGAAATTTGTGCTACAATTGGCCAAAACCTAGCAGCACGTTTTTATAATCAAACCAGTCCAAATCTTCCCGCTTTTAATAAAAAATCCTTATGGTTGAAACCCATTAACCTTTCTGAAGTGTTTGGAGCAATCTCGAAACTAAGTAATAATAAATCTTCAGCAGGTCCTGATGGTATATCAAATATACTTATTTAAACTAATGAAACTGTTATTGTGACTTATTTCATTCGCTTTTTTAATTAGCGGATCGAATTGGGTCAATACACCTGCTTTTTTAAAATTGCGAAGGTAGTGATATTTTATAAAGATGGCGAATTCAACAATTGTAATAATTATAGGCCCAGTTTTTGAGAGGCTGTTATATAATAGGTCTATCCTTTTTTTTGAAGAGTGTTGTTTCTTCACTGAGTTTCAGTTTGCCTTTCGTAAGAGTTTTCTACAACTGATGCCGTAGCACTTTTGCTGAATGAACTTCAAGTCCTGATCGTTAAAGGAAAAAGCCATCTGCTTGTTTTATTGACCTAAAGTAAGCGTTTGATACAGACAGCTACCAGTACTTATTTTTGAAATTCGAACGTTATGGAGCGCGCAGATTACCTCTTGATTTAATTCAGCTATTCAACGGGCAGAAGCCAGTGAAGCTGGGTGACTTTGGTTCAAAATGGATATCAGTGACTCATGGTGTTCCTCAAGGATCAATCCTGGGCCCTTTTCTGTTTCTCGATTATATCAAGGATTTACCCCCCCCCCCCCATGTATAAATTCGAAGACTTTTCTTTTTGCAGATGATACTGCCATTGTAGAAAAAAATGATAATTTTTTTTGGGAGTTTCTCAAATCAGCGACTGGATGAAATCAAATATCTCATCTTAAATAACAATAAAACAAAAATTATGAGATATTCTAGGTCAAAAACAGCAGCAGCAGATTCAATTGTTAGACAACAAAATATATGAACAGGATTCAGTTATAAAGTATTTTAAAAAATGATTGATGAAAAACTGAGTTTTGATCCTCATTTTAATAACGTTTCTACCAAACTATCGAAATATTGTGGTCTTTTAAATAGAATCAGATACGCGTTTCACCTTAGCATCTGTTTATTACTACAAAACTTCCATAAAACCAATCATTCAGTTTAGTGTTTTAAAATACGGTTGCTCAAACGAAAATATTCTGAATCAGGTATTAAAAATGCAAAAACAAATTGTAAGACAAATATTTTTCAAATGATACTGACTCCGTTCGAACCTGATGATTGAAAATAAAACATTCAGTGCTTTTGAATTGAATTAGACTGAACTGTTCAAAGAGGTAGTCAAACAGCTTTTGAAAAGTAGCAATTTAAATTGTATGAATCTTGTGCAACCCAATCAGGCTTTGAGACGATTCTCAAGTTTTGCTTATTCTTTTCATTATCAGGGTACAGGTATCAAATTAATGCTTCAAAGTAGGATGAATGAAGTATACAACTACTTGAATGCTTTAAATGAATTTGAAAACTTACCTGATATTGATACTCGATATCGCTTCAATTGATATGTTCACAGGATTTAAGACTGCTATATTATTGATAACAAAGTTTCACACATAGTGTTTAAAAATGATGGAATTTACACGAGCTATTTAGGTGCTGAGAGAGCAGTTCGATAAAAGCTTCGAGACTAAAACCAAGATTTACTGTGGATGTTGCTTTCCAATTATTCATAAAAATTTCTTGATTTTGAGCTTCAGTTTGCGTTGAGTAAACTGAAAACCCTCTTGCACTTGTTCACTAGTTATTGCTGCATGTGCTCAGTTGGGTGTCCTCTGTCCAAAAGACTATCCTGTTTGGCAGGTGTTATCGAGACTCTAGGCACGTGTTATAGTTGGAAGAAGCAGTAACCATTAAGTGAACAAGTTCAAGAATTTTGAAGAAACCGGTTACACGGACCTACGATTAGGGAGTTTCAGAAACAAAACAATTTCGCTAGTGCAATTTTCGGCAAAACTATAATCTCGTGTTTGCTTTACCAATTAATATCATCAATGTCATGTTAACAAATCGAATACTGCAACCAGAGATGGTACTAAGGGACTTAGAGTTTAAACAGTAGAAAAAATTGAGTTTAACATTTAAAAATAGCAAATTAGCTCAACTTTTCATTCGAAATCTGATTTGGTTTTTCTTCGGAAAGAAAAAGAATATATGTTTGTAATACCCAGACATTAGGGTCAACGTCGTGAGGGCAAATGCCTGTGGCTAATCCTAGGTAGAGTTGCTAGCTGCATTTTAGCCTATTTGTTTGTAAACAATTTGACGCTAATTTCAATTTATTTATATATTTATAAAATAAACCTAGTTGCTAGTTAACACATATTAAGAAAATTTTGAGACAATTTGAGCAACGTCCCATAATTAATTGAAACTCAAAATACAATTTCGTTCGAGATGGGCAACTATATGGACTGTGGGTTTGTTTTGTCAAACTCAATCTAAATCTAAATGACTTCAGCCTGCTCTACTTTAGAAAAAAAATATGCAATTTTGGATACTCAACATTGCGGACTCAACTATAAATTTGGTATGTTGAATTTGTAATGTATTTTGTATTTTATTGTTGCAATATAAATATATTTTTTGTGAGTGCCTTTTTGATAATGCAATGCATTGGGAGTACAACAATGTACCTTTAATGGCTCCTACTAACGCTGGATCTTGTTGCGTAGGTAGGAATCTGATGTCTACAAAGAGTTTCGATGGGTTTTGTTGGGCTTATAACACAGCTTGTCGCATATTTTTGAAAAAGCACCAAGTCGAATGTTTTTTTTGAGCCTCAAAATTTTGATCGTTTCATACCCCCGAAATCAAGTAATAAAGAGTATCGCCACTTAACCAAAAACAATTACAGTTCTGATTGGATAATTTATTGTCAAAAAAGTCGATTAATTTATCTCTACCTTCGGGGATGTATATCTTTTCCAGGCCACAATCTTCCTGTAATTTGTTGTAGACTTCTTCTATCACTGCATTTCCAAGTGCTTCATATCTTCTCTGATTATAGAAAGTGTTCTTCCTGACATTGAACACAAATCCCTCTCCTCTGTCGTCTCTCAGAACACCCTTGTTGTCAAATTCGAAACCAAATTCTTCCAGTGTAGTCCCAAACTCTCGGTCTTTGGGAGGCGAAGCAGCACCTTTCGTCTTATGTTTAGCAGGAGGTGGATTATCTAGTGGTTCCGTGTCAGCCTTCAAGGAACGCTTGCTCTCTAGGCACAACAAAATGCTCAAACTATCGTGTTCTTCGCATCACTTGAGAAACACAAAGCGAAATATTTTTTTTTTGAATCAGTCAGCAAAAAAAGCTCGAAATAATCTGAAAACTTGAGTTGCCTCAGCAGGCCATTCAAGATACTTATCGACTTCTCAATGAGGCGCCTCCCAAGCTGTTCAAATCGCTCGGAGAAAAAAGTGACCTCAATTTCTGCGCCGCAGGCGAATAATTGAAAAACAGGAAAAACTCGTTTAAAGCGTTTGTGGAAAATTTCATGAATAAAGTATACAACTACACACACAGGATTTAAGAATGCTATATTATTGATAACGAAGTTTTACACATTGTGTTTAAAAACTAAAAACAATGGAGTTTACACGAACTATTTAGGTGCTGAGAGAGCAGTTCGATAAAAGCTTAGAGACTAAAACCAAGATTAGTGAACAATCCAACAGATTAGTGAACACTAAACCCTGCTGATACATTGCATATCAAACCTCCGAAACTACTGGGTGTCAGATCTTCGTAAACAAAATCTTAAGATGGTCAACAGCATACAACTGCACTTTCTATATTAGAAAAAATGAAACAATTTCAATTGCCAAATCATCGTATTCATAAAAGGGATTCATAATCCAGCGTAAATAAATTTAATGACTTTTTTCCTAACTTAATTTTAAGTTCAACAAAAAAATTTCAGCGACAAAATTTGGATGAATGGCCATGTATGCATACGTTGGCAGTAAACTGACATCACTTCACCAAAGTGTCGATAATTTCAAAATTTGAAAAGTATTTATTTGGAAATCAACACTTTTGAAAAAATTCAAAAAGCAAAAAAACCTAAGAAAGTAAAGGGCGTTGAGCAGTCATAACTGGAGTCCAGGCAAACAGCCTGAGCGTACCTTGAGGGCGCCTCGCCATAGTGTTGAGTATCTCGAACTTGGAATTAATTAGAGCTTAGGTTCTAAGAAAAATTTTCAAAAAGCATAAAAAAACAGCATATCTCAGAAACTAAGATGATTAGAGCAATCAAATTTAGAGGCAAGATATGCAACATCTGAGAGTACCCGGAAAACACCCATCGCAGGGACGGGAAATTCAAATTGTCAAAACAACACATATCTCGGAAATTAAAAGTATTTAAGCAGTCGCATTTGGGGGCAAAACATCCAATCCCTGATAATACCTCGACAGCACTTGACTACAGAGTTGGCAATTTTAAATTTTGGTGAACTTTTACAATCTAAATTTTTCTGATGTCATATCTAAAAGATGTCATATCTAAAATATAAAAAAGGTCTCGGATCACAAAAAGTCTCATAAGTAAAGTCCCGGATTATAAAAAGATTTGAGCAGTCAAATTTGGATGCAAGATTTGCAACGCCTGAGAGTACTCGGACAGCACCTCACAGTACAGAAGATTTGAGCATTCATAGTTTGAATGAAGATTTGGAACCCCTAGATTACCCTGGGGGCCCAATTCGTCACCCCTAGGATAACCTTGAGAGCATCACACTTTCGGGTTACTAATTTCAAACTTGACGGAAAAACACTGAATTCAAGCTGGGAAATCGAAAAAAAAACTATTTTAAGCATTGCAATTTACGATATGACCTGAACGTGTAAAAATTCTTTCCTCAAACATGCAAAAATAATACGTTGAAAAAGTTTTCACAGTACCCAACTACAGGGTTGGTAATTTCAAATTTTGAGAAACTTCAAATTGAATTTTTCTGAAAAAAAAAACTCTAAAAACCATAAAAAGTGCCATATCTCGGAAACTACAATAATTTAAGCACTCATATTTGGAGGCAAGATTTGCAACACCTGGACATGTGTATATTCGGTATGGGACTTGCGTGCCTGTTAATAGTTCCTTTAAAAATATTTTTTGTGCCAAAAATTTCGGTATTTTTTCGGCTCTTGACTGTCCAATTTGATTCCGTCGACTCATTTTCCGAATGATTTTTTTCAATTAGTTTTTGTTGATTTTTATAAGAATGGTTGAATTCTTACAAATGGTACTGGACAAATCTAAATCACTTTTCCAGACCGTTCTTTGTGAAAGGGAAAATTTTAGAATGAAACAAATATGTTCCCCTTTATTGAAACTTTAGAAAAAAAATTTCAATATTTTTTCGTTTTTGATTTCAGTTTGCACAAAAACTTTTTTAAACCTTTTATGCTTTTGTTTGTTCAGTGAGCTGTTTTTATCATATTTTTCTGGTGAAGTAATTGAATTTGTGTTTTCGCAGTTTTTTGTTTATTTTTCAGTTAAGTTTTTCTACAACATTTCATCGTTTTGCAAAGTCAATTTGAGTTGCTGACTGCCAGTTTTCTGTTCCTCCACTTTTGCGTAGTTTGATTCTGTAAGGAATGACAAAAAAACGGGGACCACGCGAGCTGGAAGTGCTATCAAATCAGAAAACCTTTGATAATTTTGTTCAGAATTGTTAGGCGAATTTATCATGTTTCTTCTTATTGTTTGCTTATAAAAAATTTCATTTATTTTTTCTCACGCTTAGTTAATTTTGATCTGTTTTCGGGCTAAATCTTCTCTAAGAATAGTTCAATGGCATATTTTTTCTTATATATTTGTTTTTTTGTTAGATTTTTTGGTAAACCATTTTTATCTGCCAACTTATTGTTCTTGTCTGATCGGATCTTCTTTTTTGGAACTGAAAATCGGCTTTTTGGGCTTTTTTGGCTTCATAGCTGTTCAAAATCATTTGATTTTTTGTTAACACTGTCTGGTTCTAGTTGCTTTTGTTGTTTCATGCATTGTTCGAGAAAATTTTTGAAAAAATCATAAAAATCTTCGTATCTCGAAAAATAATAAGATTTGGGTATTCATATTTGGGGGCCCAATTCGCCACCCCTGGAGTTACGCCAACAGCATCCCACTTTTGGGTTAATAATTTCAAACTCGACAAAAAAACATTGAGTTCAAGCTGCAAAATTGAAAAAAAAATAGTTTTAACCATTGCAATATACTATATCGCTTAAACGTGAAAAAAAAATTTTTCGTTAATCATGCAAAAATAATACGTTGAAAAAACATAAACATGGCGAGATAGTAAAGCCCTCATTTAAAATCCCTCATTTAATAGAAAAAGATAGAAAATAGTTAAATAAATATTTTTGTCGAATTATTTTTCATTTTCCTTAATACTAATTACTCTTAACTCTTCGCAAAAAATTCATCTTGGAGATTTGTAATCAGTTTTATTAAACTAAAGTTTAGAATTATTAGTGAAAAAATGAACTGACCTGAATTGCCATTTGTATGATCAGTATCTTCATCTGCATTTTCAGCATCATTCTTGGATGTTACCTGCTGTTCTTTTTCAACCCCCATGTCCATAATCTGATATGTTCTACTGAGAGGTGATAAATCGAAGCACAAATGCTCAGATTTAACAGATGTAAAGAAGGCTTCGAATATGTTTGTATTGGAGCACACTCGATTTTTATCTGCTGCTTGATTACCATTGAAGTCAAAACTTTCTTGTGATGAAAAATATATTTTATCGGCGATCGTTAAAACATGCTTCGATAAAGAACTGGTAGATGCTTTTTGTCTAGAATAAACAGCTAAAACGAGTTTAAGACACAGAAGGGCAAAAATTTGCAGCCATTTATGATCTAAATTTACAAAAACATTGCTGCACATGCTGCAAAAACTGCCAGTAATTTTTTTTTCAACCATGGTACGTGCCCACTTCAAACAATTTCTCAGATACTTCTGAAAACCAATATAATTGTTTCGTATCAACTACATAAAGTCTATTATATTTCTAAATGGTTCAAGACATCAATTCCTTTACATGAGCAAGCCTCACCCATGATTTCAATATTGATGAGAGTCGTGCTCAAAAACTTCAAAATCTATAATTCAATATTGTGACAGAGAGACGAAGCGGAGTTTCGCAACACTTGTGGTACATCGCAAGCATAGTATTGCAAAGTAGCAAATAGATAATGGGACGGAAACATAAAAGAAAAAAATAAACAAATGGTGAAAAATATCTACTATGCTAAAACTATCTACTTTCCATAATCAGAACACGGTCAATAAACCGATCACGGGAGTAAATTAAGGCATCATTATTACTTAACGTGAGGCTACTTAGCCGAAAATGCTTGGGAAGACGCCTGTCACGTCAAAAAAAAGCCATATAATTTTTTGTTGCCATAACAAATCGTGAACTAAATTATAAAATGATCTCAGGGAAAAAAACATCAATGGTAAAATGTTTTCGACATTATGTCATCATCAGTAACTAAAAAATAGCAAAATTGTACAAATTAAAAGCACATTAAAAAAATAGGAAAACTGGAAAGTAATTAAAAACAGATAGAACTGTGATAAGCAAGTTTGATTGGAACAAGCCACTGGAATGTGGGACAATGTAACAATGTTACAGCTTCATGTTAGCCTAATTGTTGTGATAAACTTATTAAATAGTTTCATATGTTATGACTGATCCTGAGGGAACACAGCCTGCCCCCCAGCGGCTCAACTCCACATCTGGCCTTGTGACCGCTGACTACTACCCAACCGTGGATGATCTACTTCGGGCTGACGGCACTGAGACGTTCGGAAAGCTGACTGGAAAGCTGAAAAAAGACAGCATACTTTGCCTGTTGCGCGAAGCTGTTACGCAACTTCGGGAAGCTAAGTATAATCAAAATAGTTGTACTCATGCTGTTGATGCAGGGGAAGATGCCGATAAACGTCTTGATGTTATTGAAAAGAAACTTGATGTTGTTGTTGAGAAGCTTGAAAAGACCGATCCCCAATTACCCCGAATCAAAGTTTCATCTGTTTCGTCACCGGAGCTACTTGAGAAGTTGGACGAGATCAGGATTCAAGGCATACCTGAAAGCTCTGCCAATTCTGCTAACAAGCGCTTTGAGGATGATGGGAAATCAGTGACTGATATACTTGAATATCTCGAGGCAAATTCTTCTACGGGGATTCAGGAGGTCTTCCGCGTGGGAAAACCCAATACGGATCCAAATAAGCCGAGACCTGTTATAATCAAATTCAATTCTGTTTGGTCTACAAGGAAGATTCTAAGCAAGAGTTACAATCTGAAAGAGTATTGTGATGCTGTCTATATTTCCAAGTCCCTAACCAAAGCTGGCCAGGAACTTGAAAGGCAGCTCCTGAAACGACGTCGTGAACTAATCGAAGGCGGCTATGATCGCAAGCAGATCAAAATTCGTGACCTGAAGCTTTATCTTGATGACGAGTTGCAACAACTTGAGCCAAAGCAAAATTGACTAGAGAAAAAGTTATCGATTGTCTTTTTCAATTGCCAAAGTATGCTCTCTTTGGAAAGAAGATTGAAGTTTGTTAATATGTTATACAAATGGAATTGTGATATTATTTGCTTGACTGAAACCTGGTTGACCAGCACGGTTGAATCATCGTTTGTTTTCCCGTATGCTGATTACACTGTTCTTGCTCGCTCTGATCGTAAAAATGGTGAACACGGAGGTAGCCTTATTGCTATAAAGGGCTCAATTCCTTCTACGTTCCATATTCAACCGGTTGTTTGCGAATCCCCTGTTGGCTGTGCAGTTTTATTGGTTTCAGCTTCGCTCCTTATTTGCATTGCTGTCATCTATAATCCTCCCGCTTCTTCGCATTTCAGATTATCCGTTATAAGCATGAGTGAGTTTTTGGAAACTGCACATATTGCATTCAAATCTGAATGTGCTAAGCGCGGATCTCTGCACGACAGCTACTTCCTTGTCTCGGGTGATATGAATCTTCCCAATATTGACTGGTACTCTTGCTACAGCTCCTCGAGCTATGACGCAAACTTGCTTTCTTTGTTTCATGATTATGATCTAGAGCAGCACATCTTTGAACCAACACATTGCAGTGGGAGCATTCTCGATATCCTATTGCTTAACCGTGCTAATCCTGGTGATATTGAAGTTTTGGAGTCCGATTTCTCTGATCACAAGCCTGTCAGCATTACGTTTCCTACTAAATCAGACGATGAAATTCGACCAGTAGCCTACTCCAAATCCTCCTTTGACTATACCACGTTCTCCGTGATGCTTAATTCTGGTTATAATGCTCTGCAGTATGCCCATTTGTATGATGACTTCAGCGTGGTGATTTTCTCAATTCTAAATGAGAGTGTGCGTGTTTCTTCCTACCGTAAAAGACTCAAACGTCAAAATCTGCCGTTTTATTATTCTTCACATACGGTCCACCTTTTAAATAAACTTGGCACCCAGAAAAAGCGCAATCCCATGCACGATCATAGCACTCTTGTAGACAGTCTAAATGTGTCAATGGAACTTGACAAGGTCTGCTTCCTGCAATCCTATGAGACTATGGACGTCAATTCTTGCTTCAAGATTTTGAAAAGCTTGAGCAATTCTTCTCCCTACCCAGGCACAATGCATTTTGCAAAAAGATCTGCTTCCACTACTATTGAGAAGGCCAATCTTTTTAATGACTTTTTTGCGTCTGTCTTCAAGACCTCCGGGGAGATTCAGATTACCAGCCTTAGTACTTCTTCTACCATTGAGTTGTGCAAGGTGTCTGTTAGTCATGAAAAAGTCTTACATTTTCTTCAGTCGGCAAATGACTCTGCTTCTGTCTGCTGTGACGATGTCCCGCCGGCTTTCCTAAAACATTGTGCATTTCAACTGAGTCCTCTAGTGGCTGCTCTCTATGAAGACATTTTAAAGCGAAAAAAGTGGCCCGATGTTTGGAAAACTGCGTACATAACTCCTCTTTACAAGAAGGATAGCCACAGTGATGTGTCCAATTATCGTCCCATCAGCCTGCTACCGAAACTTTCCCTCGGTCTGGAGCGTATCTTATTTGATTACATTTACACTAGCATTAGGCCGAAAATTACGAAATACCAATCCGGCTTTATGTCAAGGCGTTCAACTGTCACGCAACTGTTAAACTTCTGTGATGAGCTTTATAGGAATCACGAACTTGGTATTTCGTCTTTTGTTTTTTATGCGGATATCAAAAAGGCGTTTGACTCGGTTCCTCACCATAAATTGCTCAAAAAACTTGCGGATTTCGGTTTGGATGTTAGCTTTCTCCAATTACTTAAAAGTTATCTTTCTGGACGCTTTCAACGTGTGCGAATCAATGGTGTGCTCTCTGATTTTGTGAGCATTATGAGTGGTGTCCCGCAAGGTAGTATTCTGGGGCCGTTATTGTTCTTGTTATTTGTGAACGATCTTCCTGATTATCTCTTATCCAAGCCATCCCTCTTTGCTGATGATCTGAAATGCTGCAGTACCTCTGTTCCCGTACTTCAACGCGATCTAGATGCTGTTATCAATTGGTGTGGCGAAAATTCTCTCGATTTACATCCTGACAAATGTAAAGTCCTGAAGTTTTTTAACCACAGCTCTGAAAACCCAGATCTCTATATTGGTGATCACAAAATCGATGAATCTTTAGACGTTAAAGATCTTGGGATCATTTTCAGTTCTGATTTATCGTGGTCGCACCATGTCTCTGAAAAGTTATTCAAGTGCAACAAAGTGTACTTTATGTTAAAGCGAAATGTTCCGAGCAGTACTCCGAGACAAACGAAGGTTCGGCTCTACAAAGCATGTATTCTATCTGTGCTTACTTATGGTTCTTCTATCTGGATACCTAACAAGACCGACTTATCCAAGCTCGAAGCTTTCAACAGAAGATGCGTGAGATGGATCGGTCTGTCAGGTGATTATAAGACGTCACTGATAAAGTTAGGAATCTATCCTCTGCCATATCATATTGAAATCTCAAATCTTCTGTTTTTCCATAAACTGTTTCAGGACAAGTACGATTTAAACCCCTTCGATTTTGTTGATATAAATGACCCATCTGTATCATTACGGAGTGTTGATATATACTCTTTCAAATTAAAGAAGCGAAAATACGAGAAGACAAAGTCCTTTTATTTTGACCGTATTCCTAGACTATTGAATTTCATGAAGCTTGATGTCCGTCTATCATTCCCCCGGTACAAGCGTGAAGTTATGAAGTTCTATGATACGAAGCTACGTCAAACATTCGAAGAAAACATTCCGTGTACTTGGTATGGAAAGTGCTGCTGTACCTTCTGCCGGTCATAGTTTATTTTATATATTTATATTTTTGTTTTTTTTTTGTTTTATGTTTGCATTTCATTATTTGTGATTGTAAACTCCCCACGGGGTAAATTAAGCCTTTCTCTCTCTCTCTCTCTCTCTCTCAGGGTCAACTCTAAATTATAAAACTCAAAGATGACCCACCACTTTTACATCAGAACACTCCTGATACCTAATTGATTCTCTTGAAACGACGCAAAATAAAGTTACTGGGCAATTTGAAAAAAGCAGAAACCATTAAAGCGCTAAAAAAATCTAGCCAGCACTTAAACTATAAAACTCTTAGCCTCAATATGATTTTAAAAGTTAAGCTTGATTCAAATCACTAACAATTCAAATTGACTTTGATAACTTGCATCAATTGGCAAGAGTTATGTTTTTCTGCGCAAGCTCTGACTATTACTTTGAATCTATCATTTGAACTATCAAAAATTTTGAAATATTTAAACCTGTTTTGATAGCTCGAAAGGCAGCGTGAAAAAAGTTAATATCTTCGATCACGCTATTCAAGCGACGAGACATCAAAAAATTCCTGGTTGAAAATATTTTAACTAAAACAGTTTGGAGGGAAATGGAAGCTTTTATTGAAGCCCCCGTGGGTAAAAGCGATCACGTTCTTATCAAACTAGAAGTACCTGTTCATTGGCATAAATCGAATAGCCCGAATTAAAATTGAAC